AACCACCCTGTGTCTTCTAGGTGTGTTTAGGTGACTGAGGGTACTCACTACAATACTTAGATATGACTTCATATGTAGGGACTCAGCACAGTATTTAAGGGAAGGCAACTCTTACTTTTTGGAACTGTTGGAGTTTTTCAAAACAACAAACAAACAAACAAACAAACCCCATAAAATGGTTGACTCTGTGAATAGAGAGGGAGAAGGTGAATCCTGAATGAAGTGAGGAAGTAGTGTCAAGGGTAGACCAGTGGTGGGTGGGTATTCACTACATCCATAGAGATCTAGATTGGGGGTGTGTCCCAGTGGTAGAGCACTTGCCTGGCACGTGTGAGGTCCTGGGTTTATCCATAATAACACACACACACACACAGAGAGAGAGAGAGAGAGAGAGAGACAGACAGACAGACACAGACACAGACACAGACACACAGAATGAGAAAGAGACATACTCACACACAAACACACGTAGTAGTACACATGCACTCACACACACACACACTGTTCACAGATGAAAAGAAACTCACCAGCAGGTAGATCATTGCCCAGCAAGAAGAAACAAACCTCAGCTATAGATTACAGCTGTGCCTATGAGAAATGGTACCACTAAAGCAGTGTTATTGTCCCAGCTATAAATGAACTACGCTGTCACTTAACACATACGTTAAAGTACCTAGTGCCTTCTAATGTAGCACAACAACTAACCTGACTTACATCCAACGCCTGGATGAATCCCCAGTAAAGGGAATAAAGGAGGCCAGTCACAAGGGAATCTGTGCAAGTTGATCTCTAGTACCCTTCCAAGCCAGATGATTAAATCACAGCTGACAGAAAAGAAGCATCCATCCCTAAAAAGAAACCTAAAAACCTTTATCTCAGCAGCTTGGGGAGTAAGAGGAGAGATTGCATTTTGGGAGGATGTGGGGAGCAGAGCTGCCGAGGTCAGGCACTGGATGCTTGAGTGGGTGACTGAATTGTTGACAGAATCTGTTCACTTTACAAGTGCCCTTTTAGACAGTGTCTAGATGTTTTGTGTAGCGTTCTGGACATAGCATCTACAGATACCTTAGTTTTGAAAGTGAACGGGTGTGTGAAACACGGACAGCCATGCAAGATGGAGTGGAGGCCTCGGAGTTCTAGCTTCTTAGTGTTACAGATGGAGAGACCAAGCACAGAGAGGCTAGAAGGCTGACCCAAGGTCACAGAGCATGCTCCTAATTAACAACTCACTCACTACCACTCTTCTGAAGGGGAGGGTTGAGGAGCAATGATTTTAACCCTGACCCCCTTCTTTTCCAGCAAAGGAAAAGAGCCAGTTGTTGAACTGATTCATATAAGGAGGGCATATGAATTCTGGGAATTCTAGATACTTTCCAAATGGAAGTTTTAAAAGATTTAAATATACCTTCCAACAATGATGATGATGATGATAACATTACAAAAAGTAAATGCCTCAAGTCTCCCACAACTCCTGTCTAGACTCTGTTTGGTACACAGCCAGCCTGGGAACCAGTGGGCTTTGGTGGGGGGATGGGCTGGGAGATGAAGGATCAGGAGCCACAAAGTCTGCAAATGTGTTGACTCACCCACCTGGCCTAGGTGAAGCCCCTGGGCCTGGGACAGTCAGGACAGGAACCTTTGCTATCTCTCTGAGAGCTTTTTTGTTTTGTTTAGAGGTCAATTACTTCCCATTTGGGGGACTTGTGAACTTTCAGAGGTGACTGGAGTGATGGGTCTGAAGGATGCAGATAAGGCTAGGGCTGCTAACAGCAGCTCCCTCCCCAGTAAAAGCCCTGTGAGGATAAGTGTGGGACTCACCAAGAAGGCAGCTTTTAGCACTGGACAGATTACTGGGAAGACTGACAGCTGGGGGTTGGGGGCTTACAAGGCTGGGGTGTGGGGGGGGATGCTTTTCACAGGAGCTGTTGGACACAGTGGGGAGAGGCAGAAGGCAAGTTTCCTTGCTCCTTCTCAAGAAATCTTTGGTGTCCTGAGAAATCCAGACTTACTATCCTTAGAAAAAGGAGTTCCCTCTGGGATGAGCTTGAATGGGTTCTATCATTGTTACTGTTTTTATGTTTGTGGTTAGCCAAATAGGTGTGTCACAAGAATCTGGGGGTGGAGTGGGCAGTGTAACAAAAGATTAAGGTCCACAAGGCTGTGTGTCCTATGCCTTCCTCAAGCTTGGTTATCTCAAGCTTGTTTGGGACATAGTCCCATGGCACATGTTTGAAAGGAGAGGCCACTCGATGGAACTTCAGTGAACTGCCTGTAACTCCCAAGCTCCCAAATGCATGACTTGATGTGTGGCTCAGACCCCTGGAACAGGACTTTAGCCCCAATATTGGAACCTCTGCTTGTCTCCATAGCAAAGGCAGGCGCTGCCAAAGCCACCTACCTCTCTCCACAGCAATCCCTTACATCATCCCCAGCTGGGATTTTCTTCCCAGAGCTTTTGTCTGTCCTGACACACAGTATACACCACCCTCTGGTTAGTTAGACACCTTTCTCCAATTGCCTTTCCCTAGCTTAGTTAGCTAATAAAGCCCCAAAGGGCACTAGCCACGTCTCATTTGCTCTTGCGCCTCTACTGAGAGGGTGCAGGTGTGATGCACAGACCTGAGCCTTCCTGGCTTTCACTCAGGGAGCCCTCATCCTGTTGGTTGTCTTCCAAGATTTCCCTCAGGTGGGACAGCCTGGGAGTCTAATTTGGCTTAATCCAGAAGCCAGGACCTGTCCAGAACACAGCCCACTATTGCTTCTATGACTTTTCTAGGCCAGAAGGGCAGGAAAGGGGAAGGGTATAACATTAATTTCCTACTGTTCCAAAGATCTAGAATATACTATCTGGGGTGGGGTCTGTTCAGGGGAGCTTGTAGAGGAAACATCTAAGGAAAACCTGATAGGCTTCAGTGGCAACACTGAACTAAAAGATGTCTATTCTGATGTATCAGTGTCCAAATGTCCCCTTTTGATAAGTACCCCCTTCAAAGGGAGGGTTGGGAGACCCTCTGATGATTCTTACAGGAGAGAGAGTTTAACTGAGTCTTTAGCTGTTTAGTTGAAGAAATCTCTTATTGAGATTTTCAAATCTGAAATAGGTGTACTTTTTAAAAATTATTTAAACAGGGTCTCATGTTGCTCAGGAAGACCCGCACTGGCTTTGTAGCCAAGGATAGCCAGTTGCTTCTGTTTCTGTTTCTACTTCCACAGCTGGAGTTAACAGCCTGTGTCAATACACTCAGGTTCTGCACTCAGGTTCTGCAGTGTTGGGGGATCCAGCTCAGGGTTTTCTGCATGCAAAGCCAGCACTCTACCCATCCAGCTGCATCTCCAGCCATTATTCCACACTTTGGTCTTTAAAGTCCCAGGGGCACAACATTAATTAGAGGGCACTGGCACACTTAATAATATACTTTTATTAACAGAGGAGAAATGAAAAGTAAGAGAAAGAGGACAAAGGGAAAGTATGAGGAAGTGGTACTGGACCATTGAGATAGTTCTGTGGATAAAGCTGCTAGCCTTCAAGCCTGGTCAGAGGGTTCCTTCACTTTTGTCCTCTCTCTGCAGGCACTGTGGTAAGGCATGCACCTCCTCCCTCTCCCAATGAACAAATGTTAAAAGGAGAAAATGGTAGTAGGTTTTTAAAAGGGCACAGTGGCTTTGGTTTCCCCTAGCCTAGGCATCTAACTCTTAAGGGATGTAAGTTGCTAGCTGATGAGCATCTTCCAGAGAAGATCAACTGGCTCCTGACTCTGTCCAGGGAAAATTGGAGGGAGTCTCCTTTAGTTAAATATAGGAACCTGTTCCTGTTCAATAAAATAATTTAGCTTTTGATGCCAGTTGAGGGGTGGAGGATTGGGATTCTTATTGTTGATGACATTCAAGGAAGCTGATAATCACAGTTTTGTCCTCAACACCCTGCTCTATTTGTCCTACCAAAGCTAAATTCCTATTTGATCCGGTGCTCCCATTAATAAATTGAATAAATTGAGTTCATTTTCGGTCTTCAGGTCGGATGATTTAAGACTGGGGGAGTGTAAATTTTTTCAAGATTTTGAAGATCCCACAGTTAAAGTTTCTGCTTCTGCTATCATTTTAGATTTGTCTGGGGTGAGGGCAGGGCTATTTCCCTGATGGGTACCTAAAAAGTCCCCTAAGAGTATCTAAAAAGAGGAGAGCAAGTGCGAGGCGAAACAAATAACCTACCTCCAGGGGGGCTGAGTCGACCTCATCTCCCTATATTTTATTTTGCTTTGGATAGAGGGACTCCTTATTTAGCCCAGGTAGTGCCTTGAACTCCCCAAGCCTCCCGCTTGGGTCTTCTGAGTGCTGAGGTTACTCGCGTATGCCACCACGCCCTCTGAGAAGCTCTCAGGGTCCTGGGTCTATAACAACAGGCGCAGGGACACTCATTTACTGATCAGGCGGTTCACTTCACAAAATGCAGTTGCTGAGAGTGGAGAGGACCTCAGCCTCAAGTGAGATCACCGGTAAGGAAAGTGCTCGCTGAAGAATCTTCCCGGGGAAGTCCAGGGTGCACAAACCTAAACCCTGGCTGGGGCACTTCCAGGCTCGTCCTTCTGGCATCTCCAGCGGCTTGACGTTTCTATCTTCTCAATCCCGCAAGCCCTTTACCGGTGCACTTGCTCCTTCAAGGGATGGAGTGAAGACTGCCTTGATCTCAGGCCTCCAAGATGCTTGCAATTGTTTAAAGGGGATTGTGGCTCGGAATCACCTGCTTCCAAATTGTCAGCCATCATACTATCCTCTGCTTAGCATCCAGGTGGCCAGCCAAAACCCGATTATATCTCCGAGGGTAAGTTTTTCCAAAGCCTGCAGAGGCCACTCCTCTGAGCAGTTCAGTCCCGAGATCAGTAAAGTGGGAAGTGTCAGGCGGGCCGCCGCTTTCCAACTCCTTGGCCGAAGCTCAACTCCCTGGCCAGCATCTGGAAAGGGTCCGAACCAGGCGCCAGGCAGTAGCTTCGTCCCGGGGCTTTTCACCAGGCAGTGACTCCCTGTAGTGTGGCGGGCAGATGGCCCTGCGGGGCAGCACTCCAGCCACCTGGGCTGAAGCCAGAGCTGGCCAGTGGTGTGAGTTGCCCGGGGCCAGTGCCGGGACAGTGGCCTGCGTAGCTAGCACTACTATAGGGAGTGCCCGAGTATCCCCCGAAGCAAGAATGGGGCGCGTAGGGACCCGGGAACGCGGGGGCGTCGGGACCCAAGTAGGGCTTGCCGTCCAGCACTAGTACCGGCACTGCCACCCGGCGCGGTGTTAGCGGGTGGCCAGCCAGTTCCAGGGTCTGGTCCTGGCGCTGCCTCTTGCACTTGTAGCGCCGGTTTTGGAACCAGATCTTGACTTGCGTGGACGTGAGCTGCAGCGCGCTGGCCAGGTGCTCGCGCTCGGACGCAGACAGGTACCGCTGCTGCCTGAAGCGCCGCTCCAGGGCCAGCACTTGGGCCTGCGAGAACAGCACGCGGGGCTTCCGCCGCGGCCGCGTCCTGACCAGTCCTGGCTGTACGCTGTCGCTGCCGTTGCCCACACCGCGCTCCATCCTCGGGTTCCCAGCTCCAAGCGTTGAGGCCGCGTGTGGAGGAGTCTCTAAAATCACACGGAGGGAACACCATCAACAGCCCAGCAACAGGCTCGGGTTGTTTTCCCTAGCTAGCCCTTTCCCCTCACCATCCTCTACCCGCCTCCCAGGTGGGTCTGATGGTCTAGTTGTCAGATCTCTGTCGCTTTTGTAACCGCCGCCGGAGCCTAAGTAAAGTCTGATATGCTAAGCCCCTGTGTTCACTTCGTTTCGACAATAGCGGGTTCCGGATCAGATGTGCCTATTTTCTTCTTGTAGCTCATCAGTTTGAGAAATCTTAAAACGTGAGTGTGCAGGCCTATCAGAATGATGCTGGGCCTTAAACTTTATAAACAGGATACTCTGCAGTGCAAATTAAGAACAAGGTATTTCCCAAACTGATTAAAAGCCAGGTATTTCCTGGTCCCGACTCGCAGGCTTGCAAATAGAGGTTTTCTTTGATATGTGAAGTTGAGATCCACATTTTGGCCTTTTGATTAACACTCCCTTCTTTCCTCCGTTAGGTCTTTTTGGCAAGTGGGTGGCTCTGTGGTTACCTGGTATTGTTTCCCCCGGTTGAGCTGTGACTATACCCAAGCCCACCCAGATATAGCCTTCCCTCTGCTTCCTACTTCTCTTGTCTTGGCTTAAGATCCCTTTTGTCCCCAAGGAGGGTGGAGAGGAAACTCACATTGGGAGAAATCCAGGAACACTGAAGGGAACACCTAAGGGCAAGAAGCTAAAGACTGGCCGGGCAAGAAGCTAAAGACTGGCCGGGCCAGTGCCCTCAAGAGAGCTGGGTGGCTTGGGTTTAGAAGAGATCCTGACTCCCAACCCCTAGACCAGGGCATAACCTCAACGAAAATGGCAGTTGTTTAAAGTTTGAAGAGAACTTCCCATCCAGGAGTGTGTGTGTGTGTGTGTGTGTGTGTGTGTGTGTGTGTGTGTGTGGGTGGGTGGGTGGGGGTATATGTACTCTTAGAAACAGAAAACACCCAAAGTGGTAAAAACGGGAGGGAATGTTTCCTTTTAAAAATCTAAAGAAGACTGACCTCCAGCGATGCTGAAGACCAAGCCAGACTCCAATCGAAAGTAGCTGACTTAGCAAAGGCCTTCCAATCGCTTTAAATTCCTAAGTTCTGGTCAGTCTGATCTACACAGCCAGCTCCAGGCCAGTCAGAGTTTCAAAATCCCCATCAGGAAAAGAGCCCCCACCCAGGTAAGTTAAACAAGACAGTAGAAAGTTTAGCGGTAGATCTCTAAAATTATGAAAATTTTACTCTCTCAATCTGAGGTTATTCAAGTTGAGGACTGAAATACATTCGATTTTATTGGGAGCCCTAGGTCATATGGACCTTAGTCTCAGTAGAACAAACATCAAGGGACTGAACACAAAATAGCATTTGGCTTACTTGAATTTCATTTTTAGATGGTGAAAATGATCCCATCCCCCAACCAACTGATACACTAAAGGTTAAATTCAACACAATGAGATCCTGTCTCAAAAAATCCAAAACCCAAATAAATAAATAAACGGAAAGGTAAGAGTTAGCACCCTGTACCCTCTTAGTCACAATTGGAGAGCTCTGAGCCCTGCTTTCAAGGAGGTAATAGGTTCAGATGGTGACATATGTCACATGTTGTGGTGAAGCCTACCAGATGTCCCATTCACTTGACTGGTAGCCCCCAGGCTGGAGTGGGCCCTGTGTGGCTACCACAGTGGCAAGCAGGAGACATATACCCAGGTGTGCCTGTGGCTGGGACAGAGGGGAGAGAAACTGCCAAGGCCCTTTCTCAATAATGCTGAAAGGAACTTCAAGTTAGCAGACCTTTAGCCAGGGAACTGAATGTTTTGTGTCCACTACAGACAAACCACAGGTTCCTTTTTGAACTCAACAAAATGTTGTCCAGACTTCTGGAGGATGGTTGACAAACAGCCTCAAGTCCCAGTGTGAGTCTGAAGGTGTTCTAGTGATGGGCCTTGATTATATGTGGCCAGGCTTGGTAGGGGAGGCTGACTGTCCTCCCCACCTCAGACTGGGGGTGGAAAAGCCACTGGCACGGGCTGGGTATGAGGGACAGGATAGCCACCCTGCACACTGGCTGGGTGTGAGGACAGTGGTCACCTCATTCTTCCAGTAGCCTTTCCTGCCTGTGTTTACTCATCCCTTCTCTTTCTACAAGCTGAGGATGGGTTCCTGGGCCTCTCTGCTTGTCCATGCACTTTGGATCAGATTCCACAATTCTGAGGAGTTGGTCTCTTAGTTGGTCCTTATTTTTTAGTGCCCTCAGGTCCACTTAAAAAGCAACACACACACACACACACACACACACACACACACACACACACCCTGCTTCTCTGTAGAGAAAATGGGAGAAAAAGTCTCTCTCTCTAGTGTGTGTGTGTGTGTGTGTGTGTGTGTGTGTGTGTGGTTTGAACTAAGTTATGGTAAAGAGGTTTAGTGGGGGGAAAGAAGCTCTCAGACTAGGCTCCATTGGGATCATGTCTTTGTGGTTAGCAGAGGGGCAGCTGTAGGAAGGAGCACCCTACAATTCAAGCCTTTAGGAAGCAGGTCTAGGAACAGGGCTCCTAAAATGAGGGAAGATAGGGTGGAACCCCAGAAGAGGCAGTCTCTCCATCAATGACGCCTGTAGGAAAGAACTATGCTTACTCACCTGCATCAATCTCCAGGACTGTCTCCCAGGGGCACCGAAGAGGGTCTGATCTAGTTTGTGCCCTGTCGCCGCTCTTTGTCCCTACGGATTCCGGGTCCATTGTTAGGTACTGGGGCTTTTCGGGGTTCCTATGCAATACCCATTGTGACGGAGTGTTGGTGTCTTTCTGCTCACGCTCCATCCTGAGGAGGTAGTCGACAGAGAAGGGGGTGGAGGTGACTGGGCTCATCAGCATCTCGGAAGCCTAGGGGGCGGAGCTACCAAGTTCTCAACTTCTGCCTGGCTTTGCACCCTTAACTTCTCCTTTTGTGATGGAAGGACTAAGCGACTCCCGAACACACACTCAAGGTCCAGGCCCGCGCCTTCTCTTTGGTCTTGTCTGCCGGCTGGGGGACCACGACTGAGTGACAAAATTGCGGTCCTCTATTGGCTCCCACAGAAACCACGTGCTAACCCTGCACCTTCCTTCCCAAACACTGGCTTACGGGCCCTTCTGCTCATCCTCAACCCCTCGTCACTTTTTTGGGAGGACTGGTTCCTCTTGACACTTCTCAAAAGCCAGGAAGAGAAGGGCGTGGTTTACATCTCTAGAGGGTGCAGTGGGGAGATCCCGAGGGCTCAGGACAGAGGGGAGGTCCTGAATGGTGCTAGCGCGGAGTTTCAGAGCAATCCAGTCCACATTCTCACGGCAAAGGCAAACCCAGGGATAGGGAACTGCAGGGCCCTCAGGATACTAGGTGCGCACGCGGGATGGGGTGGGGTCCTAGTAGGTGCTAGGCGGGATTCCTTCTCTGGATGGTGTTGGGGGCTGAGGAGGGGACGTGGGGGGGGGGCAGACTCTGGTCATCTTTGAGTATTTCTGGAGTGGCTGGGAAGTAAGGTTAGCCCCCTGCCCCAGAGAAATTTAAAGACAGGTTCATCTGGTCTCTTGATTGCCGCGTGTATAAGTGGGAAGTTTTTGGTCCAGTCTTAGGTCTCCAGAACAGTTCCTTGGACACAGCTTGGGCAGAGCATACAGTGTCTCTGTGGTGTGCGAGTGGGTAGATATGGCCATGGCTGTAGAACACAACGTGTGGGATTTGGAACAAAGGGTGAGCCCCTCCGACACTTTCATGAGGTAAGGAGAAAGATGCTTTCTGGAGGAACAAGCGGAACGCTTTGTAGGCAAGAATCCCCCAGCTGCCATGGCTCATGCTAATGAGATCAAGAAACCCTGGCTCGGTGTTGCGTTCCCAACACAGGTTTTAAAAATATCGTTTAAGACATCTCATTAGAGATTTAAGGGAATTTCAGATCAAATGTTTTCAAACCTCATGAAAATCTACGGTTACACGAGTTTCCTGAAACCCGGATGAAAACCCACCTCCCCCTCTCCAGTGAGAAAACACGAAAATTTAAAAACAAAATTATTTATTGGAAAAGGGGGCTGCAAGCCCAGGTGTGGGGATCAGAGGGCATAGGTGGGTCCCAGGGGCCCTTCAAACATCTTTAGTCTCCCAGGCCCGGAGCACACAATTTCGAAATACAAAAAGTTCATGAAATTTTTCAGCAAATTTTATTTTTTTTTTTTGCGACCAAGTAATTGTGTAACAACTTCATATACATATCATGTAACCTTTATGATGAAGTTATATGCTTCCAGATTTTTTTCTAGTCAGAAATGCGATTGGGTGAGGGAAGGGGAGGGAAAGGGAGGGCAGGGCAGGGGAGGGGAGGGGAGGGGAGGGAAAACTGCAGCAGTTGGTACGGGTTCTTACTGGCAGATAACCACATAGTGTTTCCCCAAAATAAACCAATACTCCCCACCCTCAGGGATCTCAAATTGTGTGATAACCCAAACACATATTTATACTTCATCTTGTTTTCGTTTTTTTCTTTCTGATCACAAAAATTATTATGGACATTCTGGAAAAGTGAGAAAAAGTGATGAAAAAAAACATACACCCAAATAACAACTTGTTTATTTTTGCATGTGTTTAAGTTTACATATCTGTTCACTAGTTTTTCTGAGTATGATTCAAAGTACCAATAAAATGTCCAGCATTACAGATGGACCTCAACAGAATGAGTTCATAATTTTAGATAGTCTGTTTTTCTAATCACCATAAGTAAGGCTTTATCTTCGTAGAATCTTTGTTCCTTTATTCTCTACACGATACATCCTCGGTATATATTTGTAGAGGAAATACTGATGATATATATTTTAACTCGAATTAAAAATTCCTTCTGGGATTTCCTTGGAAAATAGTGCTGTTCCGCCCACTTCCTAGACGTGCAGGTTTACTCAAGCATGCCTCCATGGCCCCGAGGAATACTTGGGACTTTGAGGGCTGTGGACAGGAGCTCGCCCAAGCGTTCCAGATATGCTGAACTGGATACCCGCTTTCCTAGGTCTAGGGCGACCTTAGATAAAACTCTAAAGCCTGAAGTGACCAGGGCTTTGTCATTGGACAGTGGATAAGAAGCACCATTGGGAAATCTAGAACAAAAAGATGCCCTGGGCAGAATCGAGGTTACCAACACTGAGTTAAAAAATACTCTGCCTTCCCAGTTTAATAAGATTATTACATTATTTGAAACTTGAAAATGTTTTCTAGCGGCTCACAAAAGGTGAAAAGCATCCTTGTAAGGGAGTGCTGCTGTTCAAACTTGGGCTTAACAGGTAAGAGCACACACAGACCAGGAGAAAAACCCCTAACCTGCACTCCAAACCCTCACCAGGCGCCTGGAGAAAGACCAGCCTTGTGCAGTGGTGCAGTCAGGCTCAAGAAATCAAGGAGGTGCTGGCCATCACCTCTCCTTGCTTGAGCCAGGAGGTTTGGAGTTCAAGTCAATCAGGGCCATTTAGCACCTGTCCACACCACCAGAAGCAATGGATGCAACTGGTCTGGTCCTGGAGTTCTTGGGTAGCACACAACCCAAGTAGTGACTGGCATACATTACAGGTGGAAGATTTTGGTGTCTTGCTCTTGTGTGGAGACTTCACCTGTATTCTTTTTGTTGGTGGAAGGGAGGAGGTTCGAGAAGGTTTTTTGTGTAGCCCTGGCTGTCCTGGAACTTGCTCTGCAGACCAGGCTTGCCTGGAACTCATAGAGATCCACCTGTTTCTGCCTCCATAGTACTGGGGTTAAAGGCTTGTACCACCACCACCTCCTGGCTCACTTGTGTTGTTAAAATGGGATAGGGATGGATTTGTCCTAGGAGTAGGAATGGATGTGACCTGCTCCATCCAGATCACACAAAATAAAAGCTTAGGATAGTTGCATATTTTGAGTGCTTTCCTGTTATTTCATTGAGAAGAAAAGTTTTTTTTTTCTCTCTCGTTCAGACTAGTCTTGAATTCTTGGGCTCCAGCATCTCTGCTGCCATCCCTCCTGGAGTAACTGGGGCAACAGGTGCATGCCCCTGGCTGAAATAGAAGACAGAATGAACTCCAGAATGTGTCACCTTGCAGTATCTATTGAAGTTCTTCTCACCCATGGATAAACAGTCTCAACTTCCCTCCCTCTCACCTCTTTTTCTCTCCTATCCTAGGAGCGAAATTGAACCTTCTACCTGGAGACACTTTCAAATACAACCCACAAAAGTCAGTGTCTAGTGGTCCTGCTAACATGGGCCAGCCTTGGCTTACATGGAAACAATGACTTAATTAAAAAAAAAAAATTAGTGCTGGGCTGGAGAGATGGCTCAGTGGTTAAGAGCACTGGCTGCTCTTCCAGAGGTCCTGAGTTCAATTCCCAGCAACCATATGGTGGCTCACAACCATCTATAATGAGATCTGGTGTCCAACCATACATGCATGAAGAACACTGTTTAACTAATAAATATTGTTTAAAAAATTACTGCACATGTACATCTCACCTCGCAGAACAGCTCAGTCCAACTCAGTTGTTATTCCCAGTGAACAGAGGAGGAATCTAGAGAGAGTGGCCATGATACTTAGGTGGGGCTTGATGTGTCTCCTCACTCTGATCACAAACTAAGGGGAATGCAACTGCCTAGTGACCATATCTTCTTATATTCCGTCCTACAACCTCACTAAGTATATATTATTATAATGTGCTTGTTCCTAAGAAATGTCTAGAGAATTTTGTTGATCCACAGACAGATGTGAGACTATTATTTTAACATTCAAAATTATTCCATTAAATTTAATAGGTATTTCTTGAGTGCCTATTACGTATGGAAAAGGTAGTGTGTGGACACTTTTAACAGGTAAAGAAATATAACACAGAGATGCTAAGCATAGATCATGACAAAAACCCAGGCAAACAAGACACATGTGTCTATACACATTTTTCCGTGAGTCTCACTATGTCTTCAAACTCACCATTTTGTGCTGCTCTTGAGCAGTTTATGGGGTACTGGCAGTGGGGCCAGGTTTTATCCCTAGTACATAAACTGGCTTTTTGGAGCTCATTCCCTGTGGAGGGAGATCTTGCTCAGCCTAGATAGTGGGGAGGGTCTTGGTCCTGCTTCAAGGAAGTGATGGGGCAGACTTTGTTGACTCCCTATGGGAGGCCTCACCCTTTCTGAGGAGTGGATGGGGGTGGGGCAGGGGGATCAGGAGGAGGGAGAGAGGGGGACTGGAATTGGTATGTAAAATAAATATTTTTTTTCAAGCAACAACAACAACAACAAATGTATACCACCACTATCTGAGGCTCTCAGAACACAAAGCTGACTAACTCCAATACTGAGACCACACAGAATTGTTCAGGCCGGTTGGGAAGAGAACACAGTGTTTTGCTTTGGTGTGTTACCAGTTAGTCTAATTTCTGTCAGTGAGGGCTGATGTTTTTATTATAGCCACACCTTTGCCACTGGAACCTAGGGTGTGGGTGTGATTACTATGTGTAAGGTGACCAGCGTGGGAAGCTCACCTACAGGTACTTCATGCTGAAGCTCTGTCACTAACTAGCATAGGCCTCTTCCCCAGATAAAGGCTGTCCTCTGGCAGTCATTCATACCTGCAGACTCCTTGGCAATTTGCTGTTTTCACCTAACAATATATCCTGAACACTGTCCTGACCCACAGACAGCTCCCCTATTCTTTTCTATAGCTGCATAGTATTTCACTGTGTGAATAGACTGTAGTTTATTCCACTATGTCCCAATGAGTGAACCTTAGATTTGTCTCAGTATTTCAAAGTTACAAACAATAACAAAGGCATAATTAGAGGCATTCTGTCCTTGTAGTATATTTTCCTAGACCTAGGATGGAGGGTTGAAACT